GTTGTACTGTAATTAATTAGTTGTCGTTTATTGTTTAAAGGCGGAAGGAACAAATTGTTAAAATGCCTCTATTGAAGAATAAATAAATATTGTCTTCTTTTAATAACACCACAACACAACAAATTATCAATTGATAATTGATGATTGTATATCTTGACAGCTCCTCGAAATCAATTAACAAGTATACAACAAATCTCTTACGGTGAATATATATTATTTTTCGTTGAAGCGTTTCAAATAATTNTGCACTATTAATGACAGAAATGCGCCAAAACCTTGCACACCGATACGCAACGCATCCGATGTGCACGCACGCACGCTTTTATTGCTAATGGAATTAATTCAACAGTAGGCAGCTCTCGGTTCGCAACGCTCTACGGTGTGTGTGTGTGTGNGAGCAATTCTTCAAAACTTGAGCTAATCCAGAGTAACTGCACTATTAATGACAGAAATGCGCCAAAACCTTGCACACCGATACGCAACGCATCCGATGTGCACGCACGCACGCACGCTTTTATTGCTAATGGAATTAATTCAACACTAGGCAGCTCTCGGTTCGCAACGCTCTACGGTGTGTGTGTGTGATTTTGTGCACTGAGCACCTCTCACACTTATCGATCGCTTTGCCGAAAAAAAAATATCTGAAGTGTCTGGAAAAATGTTAAGATGAATTTGTAAACATTGTGGAGATGGTGGAATCGAACTTGTTTGCGGAATTGTGCAATGAATTGCACTCGTTTATGCTTGAACCTCTGAAATGATAGCTGCCGTAAGGGAGTTTGACTGCAGTGAATGGTTTCGTTAGCCATTTGTAGCTGATGATTGACAGATTGCAGTGTGATTTTACACGGATCACAGAATGAATTTTATTGTGGAACACACGGCTTTTAATGTGGTCCTTTCTGCACAAATCCGTAGAATGTTTCAAATGCGATTCATATCTTGTCGAGAAGAGAACACCGCACTTAATCCCTTAACGGTACAGTGCGAATCCACTGAAGTGTTCGTTGCACTGACGTGAGTGCTTGGCAAAGCACTGATGATCAAAGTGCACACTAGCACTTCAATCGCACCTTCTTGTCGTCCCAAATCGCCATAAGAACGTGTTCAGTGCGAAATCAGTGACGAAGAGGATGCAGAATTGTGCGATGAGCACTTCAATAATCAAAATTTGTAGCATTGCTTTATCCAAATAGGACAGTTTCTGGGGATAATACATTGCCCGCCTAGCCAACGGTGTGGCGTAAATTGAGGCTAAAACAATGTGCACGGAAACGTGAGCATTATGGCCAGCAACGTTACAAACGTTTGATAGTCTGCTTGCCAATCCAGGTAATACATTGCAGAATGGTCACGGAAATTGTGTCCATTTGGTAGGGAATCTCCACTTTGTAGGAAATAAACATAACAACTGCACAAAATGTTACTTCGCTGGTCTCCTCAATCACCTTAACGGGTGATTTCCCCACTGCGCTATACAATAGAATGCAGAACACGATACATCCAAAACAGATACCAACTTTACTTATTTGACATTCTCTTCACAACACACCAACGATTCACTCCTTCATCTAACAGCCAAACAATCAAATAAGATATCATACAGTACGCACAAGACCATATCTTTTCAAATTTAGTTAACAACCGAAAACGATAACAATTCAACAAAACAAGTAATTTATCAAATGGATCACTCCTCCGTCCTTTATAGACGTCTACCACGTCGACCACCCTTCCTTCGGGTTGAATCTGACGGAATTGGCGTGACATCTTCAATGCGACCGATTTTGATGCCTGATCTAGCTAACGCTCGGAGAGCCGATTGAGCTCCAGGACCTGGGGTCTTTGTCTTCGTGCCGCCAGTGGCACGGAGTTTAATGTGGAGCGCGTTTATGGAGAGCTGAAACCAGGAAGGATTAGCTTAAGTCTGGGACAGTGCAAATCTGCTGGTTTGAATACATATTACCACCTAGTTTGAACTAAGATAAATGAAGGTAATGAAAAGTCAAAGAAACGAATCAGCTGAGGGCAAGGTACCTGTTTGCATCTTTCAGCAACATCCTGAGCCGCAAGCATAGCTGCATACGGTGATGCTTCGTCACGATCAGCCTTCACCTTCATTCCACCGGTCACACGCACTATCGTTTCACGTCCTGAACGCAACAATTCTCATTGATAATCGACAAATTTGAAAAATACAACATCAAGAAAAGTTTTTGAGTAGCGAACTGAATGTGGAACAAACCCGAGATATCGGTGACATGCACGAAGGTGTCGTTGAACGACGCGAATATGTGCGCAACACCGAATATGAATTCGCCTTCCTTTGCTTGCGGTCCGAGTGTGACCACTGGCTGCTCTTCTTTGACTTTTCCCTTTCTTGGTGGCATTCTTCAAGTCTGCTTATACGTCTATTTACCTGAGCGAAAAAAAAATCCTTGTATTGCCTTCAACGGACAATCCTTACTCAGATCCACACAATTCTTAAAGACACGTTACAAGAAAGACGAACAAACGTTCGAGCACTCATTCCCGAAACAGTACACAGATCTCGATAATGTTGTATTTCAGGCTGGTAAAATCACAACGGCATTTTGTTTGTTCGAACATTTCTTGCTGTGTTCTCATCAACTGCGAATGTCAACAAAATACCGTTTTGATTCTACCAACCTGAAATGTAACATTACCCATCGCCACTGTCTTCAAGGTGCTACTCAACAGAAAGATTGACAAG